ACGCGACGCTGCACGGAGTTCGGCAGGCCCCGGGTCGCCCGGCTAGCTAAGATAGTCTCTGCCATTGATCCAATTATTCCAGCTTGCTACATTCTTAGTGTATGCTTCGATGGCGCCACCCTGTTGGCAACCCATTACGCCAGTTGCCAGACACGAACTAGAGAGGCCCGGCAGCGAGACGTCACAGAGACACAGATAATTCAACCTATTGGGGTGGTCTCTAGAATAACATGAGCTCCTGACTACATCACGATAATGAAACAACAAATATAGGACAGTGGCTCTAGGCGGAGATTAAAGAGGGTTTCTACTATCCAGGAAATATCTTGGATTGGCCAGAGGATGAGCCAGGCTCAGAGCCCGAGACATCTACAGGCTGTAGCGAAGCTCTACGTCCCCTGGATCAAGTGGCCTTGTCCTTCGTTCTACCGGCCCGTTGCGATGCAACGTGGTGAAATATGCTCCCGTCATAAACGCGGCGCACATCCTCTTTCTTGATGATTCCGTCCTCAGGCCACAGCAAGAGGTACGTGGCGAGCCCTGTAGCAATTTGTTAGGCGTGATTTACAACGTCCCGAACAACTTGCGTACATTCAAACATTGCGCCGAACGAGCCGATGGGGTCCATGATGACGCGTTGACCTTTCAGCCCATTCCAGATGTCCAGCTTGGAGAGACCATCTTTGTCGCCACCGTACTTGTTGAAGAAGTCCTCGAACCTAGTCAGGAGTAAGTACCGTGAGCCGACCTACCTCCGCATGACAGTCGAACACTAGGGCTCACCGCGAAGGTATGAACCTCCCCTCGGAATCATATGTACCGGTATCACTCCCGTGCTTCGCTTTATGTATATTTTTCACATGAAGACGGAAGAACGGATCCGGAAAGATGCTCTCGCCAGTAGGGTACGAGAAGTTGGCGTGAATAATGACGACGGCGATGATGGAGAGGATGATGTTGAAGCCGAGGTCGCGGAAACCACGGTACGTGTCGAGCGGCCAGATGACACCATCATTGTCAGTGTCAAAAAAGTCGCAGTGTTGCTGCAGGACGGTCTGGTCAGAGTGCTTCGTGGCCCACCGGTCGACCTGGGTGCCATTCGGAGCGTCGAGCGACGCTGCAATATTGGCATGTGCGGTGCCTGGAGGAGAAATCAGCCGACGGCTAGACAAGCTCGAACATGGGGCGCATACCCGGATTGACGAGCTTGGAGTTCTGTTCTTGTGTTGGATTGTATGGAGGCCTCTCTGCGGTGACAGGCACCGAGTCGATGGCGGTATCGAAACCTCTGTCGCTGCGTTTGCGCTCTGTCATGGGTTCTGCAGTGACGAGGGGGTGTGAATGAGGCGAGGGATGAAAATGCTAGGGGCGAATGACGGCGTACGCATTTTCGAGTCTTTTCGCTTCTTATTTATGCTCTAGTGTGCAGCTGGTTTGCAGCTCACCCTCGATCGTTGTGCTCGCTCGACGACGTCCCCATCGACGTCATTGGGGCCAACATTTGTATCACCTGATTTTCGCCCAAGAGCATCAACGACTTGGTCGTTCCAAGCGCCGCACTCCTCTTGCCATGTGCGAAAAAGGCGGTGGTGACGAGCGTAGCCACAGTTACGTGCGAGCACCATATTTGAAGCAATATTCGAAGTTCAGCCTAGCCAAACGTCGACGTGCAGGAATGCAGGATGCTCGAAGCCTCCATCAAGATACACAGCGAGTGAGTTACTTCTTTGATGGCCATCTTGAGAGCTCGATGGGCAGCGAAGGCGTCCGTGGAAAGCGGTCGAGTCCGTCCTCCGAGGCGAGGCAAGCGTTGCGATTGCCTGGAGTTGCCTCACTTACCTAGCGTCACGCGCCTAGCTGCACCTAGATCTCGAACTTTCCCACGACGGCTAGTGTCAGGCACGCAGATTATGTCAGCGATCAGAAATCAGCTGCGCGCGTTTGTGGCTGCCGGCGGTTGCGCTCGGCTCGGCTTGGCTTGCGTTCCGCGTGTGGTCGCATTCGACTCTCGACGCGACCTCGACGTCCCGTAGAAATCGTTTCTTGACAATTGGAGAATCATCGACCACCACCACCATCACTCCAAAGATACCAGGCCAGCATCAGTGATTTTGTGAAATGTCTAGTACTCGTCAGGGTCGTTGCACCGCTCTCGATGGCATCGGCGGCTGATGCGTGTAACTGTTTGAGAGAGCGGTGGTGCCCGCACAGCATAAGTACCCGACGACATGTTAAGCAAGACGTTCTACGTCTGCGACCACCATCGACTCCGTCTGCGCTTGCTCTGCGCGGTCTGTACTCTAGTTTACACTCTTCAGGCGGGCTGGGCCCCTTGTTGTAATTTACTAGTGTCTATTTCTGCTCTCTGCTGGGTGGAGACATAATCTCGACTTCTTTACGACCCAGTCACGATGTCTAACACTGTTGCAATCCTTCCCAACGGGAGCGAGTTTATCCTCAAGACTCCCTACACTAATGCTGAACTGAAGGGCATCGCCGTAAGCTGTCCTACGTACTCTTGTTGGCATTTGCTTAGATTCTGTAGATTCTCTTGGTTGTCTCTGTTCTGTCTATCTTTGCTATCATAGGACTCTTGGTGGCCCTCGCGGTGAGCTATGTCCCGTATCCTCGTCCGTAGCTCGTACTAAATCAGAAGTCCAGCTATCCGCTTGGAACACGCGTAAATCTGCGCATCAGAACCTGTTCATTCGAAGTCGTGTCGCTGCCTACTTTATATCCCTTTTGCTGTGTAATCTCTGCCAAGGCATGCTATGCGATCCCCTTAATTATCATTGAACATAGCTCATTTCACTTTGCTCTAGGTATCGGCTCGCTCATGAACGCGAGATGGTACGCGAATCAGGCGGTGTCCTACGAGCCTTTTTGCACGGCACAAGGTGAGTGACTGTATGCACCTACTTGCGCTAGCATTGATCCAGGCTCACGATATCAGGAGCACTGAAGCAGGTCGCGGACGTGGGGACAGCGTATTGGTACGTCTAATTCTACTTTCTGTATGGCGATGTGCTGACCCTGCAACCTGATACAGGAATACAGTCAGTCGACACATTTTGTCGCATCTATCTTGAAAACTGACTGCCTGTTCTGCAGACGATTGCCATGAACGCGTTCTGGATCCTCTTTCTCCGCTGGGAGGTGCGGAACTACGTCATATATGCCGTGCTCATTGGTGGATGGGCTGCGATTGGTGTGCTCATCATGGTCGGGCCTGCGGCAGTTCAGAGCTACAGTGAGGGCCCCTTCTGTACGTACAACTATTCGCTTTCCGCACCTTTCATTGACACGTTGACACGATGATAGATGGTATTTCTGGCTACTGGTGCTGGATCTCGAACTCCTATGAAGTGGCGCATATCACGTAAGTAGCTGAAATTAATCCGACATGGACTTTTGATTCATTATATCCACAACGATGATTTAGACTGGACTACATGTTCGTGAGTAACTGCTTGTACGCGCAAGGTCTAGCATATACTCAACTCGTCTGCAGATGTTCTCGTCCGCGGTGTCGACCTTTGTTTTGTATCTGCTAATTTTCTTGAACCTGCGTGGCAACATCTGGGTTAACGGCTGGCGTGTCTACTTCCGTTTTCCCCGCGATGCAGAACGTGCTGCCTCGAGAGGAGTGGACGATCATGCCATGAAAGTTGCCAGGCAGATGCTGTTGTGAGTAACTCTTCCCGCCTTGCACACTAGATACACTGACGGGCTTGTTTTGTTCAGGTACCCGGTATGTTCTCCATGCGTAACACGTTATCTCTCAGCTAAACCGGCCTAGTTCACCTACATGATCATGATCCTTCCGATTGGCGTGTGCCGCTTCCTCGAATGGAGCGGGCACGAGGTTCCCTTCACCGCGACGGTTTTCAGCGACTCGGTCTATCTCACCTCGGGCATCGCGAACGTCTTCCTCTTCGCCATCACGCGCCGCCTCCTCCCCCCGCACAGCGTCATCCCGAAGTCCGTCGCCTGCCTATTCGGTCGCCGCCACGAGCCGCCCAGCGACATGTTCACGACCGACCTCGAGGGTATCAAGCATGAGATCGGGATCAAGCCGAAGCCTGCGCCGCTGCCACTCTCCGCCTCTATCACCGTGGGTGCGCGCCCATCACCTGCCCGTGTGCCGGTCCCAGTCAGCCTTCCCCGCACGCCACCACGTGTCTCCGTCCAGCCCTCCGCGGCCTTCCGCTTCTCGCGAATGGTCCTCGACCTCAACCGTACCGAGGAGCGCGCCCCACCGCAGGACCAGAGGGGCTGGCAGCGGGAGAATCGAGGATCTGCGGATGCCTCAGATGCGTCCGAGACAGCGTCCTTCGAGACAGACGACCTAAGCAAGTACAGCGATAGCATCCTCTCCGCCGCACGTACTTTCGCCAGCCCAGATCGCAGCATGTACCCCACGTCCAGTCCACCAGGTCTGGTCGGCCTGGCAAACCCAGCAACCGTCCCCTTACCCGTGACAGCTCGTCCAGCAGCAGTGCCACCGCCACATGGTAACTGGATCTGATCATGATGGGCGGGGCTGGAGCGGGGCAGTGCTATTTGGTCTCTGGGTTTAGGTTTCTAGGGTTCACATTGGGTTCAGTGTTACGATAAGTTGCTCCAGACGCTAATACTGGGAGCTTCGTTATGACGGTTACGACTATCTTTATTTGCTGTGAGGTACTCGGGTAGTACACAGGTGCACTACTCGATGATTGACGTCGGGCTTATTGTTATTATTAGCCACGGGTGCGAGCCATCCGTGAGCTTCTCATTCAATGTATTCGATATTGGTGTACATTAGGCTTCATTGATGGACCTTGAAGAGGAGAAACTGACGTAAGTACATGCACTTCGAGAAACACCGTATTATGAAAGTCATCACAAAAAAGCTTCGAAGAAGGGCTTTATCGATGATAGCTCCAACATGAAGGCACTATGTATCTCTCCAGGCAACCATGCGACACAAACAACACGGCAAGCTACAGAAAAATGTTCGACGCCGGTGAGATTTGAACTCACGCTCCCATAGGGAAACAGATATTAGACTCAGTAACGATTCTAATCTGTCGCCTTAACCGCTCGGCCACAGCGCCATGTGACAATGTCTTGCTGTGAACACTATGATGTATTGAACAGCAAAACCCGACTAAGAAGGAAACTGATCCTGCCAGTCTCCCGCGTGACCCGAGACTGCGTTGAACGAGCGGCTATGCACGGGGCTGCGACCAAGTTTGGCCTCTGCTTACCTCCGGGCATCGACAGCCGGCAGGTGTAGGTTCAATGATACTGCGCTGGGCCCTCTCGTTCGAACGCCTTAGACACCGCGACTCTATCCGCGATGCGATCAGAAGCAAATTGAACCGAGCAGTAATTGACCGTGCGATCGAGGTAGCGAAGGGCCGTATAAGAAATTAGGGATGCTTTCGAGAAGCTCATGATGTTACTTGAGAACTTCCAAGTAGGTTCTCATCAGTTCCAAATCCATTCCATGAACTGATTCATGGACCTAGTTGGAGTGCAATCTTCATACTGAGCGAAGACTAAAGAATATCGCCATCGATGGTATGTAACACCGACTTTTATGATTCTTTCAAAGGGCTTACCTCGCGTAGTAGCTCTCCTTTCCAAGCCCATCACATACAAGGCGCAGAAATCGATGCACAGGCTGGCGATGCATGCATTGAAAACACACGTGTGGACCTCCTTGACGACATCAGTACCTGGAACCAAGATTTTCTCGGGATCAGAAAACAAGACAAATCAGATAAGAATGCTCGGACAGGAGCCCACATCCTTGTTCCTCTCTAGGTGAATAGCAGATTCGTCGCATGTCTTGCCTTATCTCCAGATGCGGGCTGTATTAGGGCGTCTTGACGCAACTATAAAAAGGATCGCAGGCGGCGCTCAGTCATTTTCTGGAGTACAGAGCCTCTCTGCTATCATAGTCGGAAGCTGTGTGATATTAATATTGACTATCTCTTCCTGTAGACGAGGTACTAGCATGCGATGTGAAGCATAGCTGACAGACTGCGCAGCATCGATGGACTGCATCCCATGGCCGCCACGACGCTGCGAATGCTGTGTCCCAGCACTTCCAGTACAAATGCATGTCGCTCCGAGTGGAGGAGTCGGAACAGATCGAGCCAAGAGGAGCAGTCCCGGTCGTACAATACACGCGCCATGACGGGCGCAGGCAGCACCAAGGCCGGAGCGATGGTAGGGGCGGCAGGCAGCGCAGTCCACTCCCGTCCAAGACGGGTTGGCTGTTCAGTCCAGTCCAGTCCTGAATACCGTCGAGGGGAACAAGCACAGCAGAAGCGGCAGGCAGTGTAGCCCATTCCCATCTATAGTATGACGGGTTAGCAGCGTAGTCCAGTCCAGGTATATAAGTAGGGTTCATGGTCCAAGCGCATTCTACCCCCCCAAACGCAGATCTTTATCGCTGATTTACTTCCAGTCAATTCATCCCGTGGCTCGAGCCACGTATTGTCCTTTTACTCTCTACTCCCCCCCCCCCCCTCCCCTGCTCTTTACCACCACTACAGCCATGTCAAGACCGCGGAAACACTCAGAAGCAGCCAAGTCGTAAGTGATACTGGCCTCTCACCTTCTTGTGGTAAGAACTTACGTGCCTCTGATATAGCCCGGGGAGCATCAATTTGTTCAACTGGACGGAGAAAGACTCCCATCTACTATCTCGCAAAAATTCGGACTCCTTCCGCACTTGCGGCACTCGCGTAAGGGCAGGTAGCATCTCCAAGGCGGGCATCGTCCTTGTGGAGGCTGGTCGTGTCAAGGACGGCTGTACTCAGTGCGTCGAGAGTCAGGCTTGCGAAAAGGAGCTGTCCGCTGTGAAGAAGCCTTCTTCGTTCGAGCGAGCGGCCCGCCCACGCCCCGATACGCCTGTTATGCTCTTTCGCTCGTCCTCCCAGACGTGTCTGCTGAACGTTTCCGCCCACAAACGCAGTATAAGCACCGACAACATTCTCCGTGCCCCCGCCCCTTCCCTTTTTTCGCGTTCTAAGCGGAACCGCGCACCAGCCGCTGCTCTTGCTGCCTCTGAGGCACCTCGTGGATGCGGCAGTACACGCACTGTTGCCCAAATTTCCGCTCAGCCACCACCACCACCCCTCCATCGTTCGGCTCCCACCGATCCCTTGGTCCCGCGCCTGCGAGTCCAGGTGCTTCGCGTCTCCGAAAATCCAACACGCACCGAACCTGAACCCCTCGCAGCGCCGAAGGTTTCGCAGTGCTGGTACAGACCTGCGAAGCCTGTCAGCCCTCCACAGGCACCCGCCGATCGCAACCGAGTCCTGCGCTGCGACGAGAGGCGCAGTCTACCGCCAAATGCCAAACGCGAACGTCCCCAAGTCCACCCACACGGTAACTCGGCACACCTCCAGCAGTACGCGACGCGACGTGGGTCACATGACTCAGCGCAACGTGCAGCTGAGCGCCCAGGCTCTCGCACATCGGAAGTGTGTCCGCATATGGGTCGGGATGAGGAACGAATGATGGGGCAGGAGAGGCTTGAGCGCATAAAAACTCGGGTCCGCTCTAACGAGCCGTCTCGCGAGTCCTCTAGGCAACATGACACCCTCCAGGTTCAGGCGGGAAGACACGCCGATGTTGCGCAGCCAGAGCAGTCCGTGCTTGGGCAGAGCACTCAACGGCGACGTCGTCAGGAGAGTGTGGGCGGGGCGTCTCCAGGAGCCAAGTGCCAGCCAGAACGCTCATGCAAATCAGATCAAACCCATGAGTCCCAATAGGTCCCTGCGACGCATTGATGGCCACATTCGCCCCCAAGCCCGTGGCGGCAGAGACATCGGACAACGTGCCTATTAGTACCCGGTCACCGCAGCTATCACGCATTCTCCGCCACGACACGATTACTTCCCCGAGTATCAGCCATCATGCAGAGAAGCAACAACCTCTCACATGCGCCGGGCACCCGAGCCCGACTCCCTGTGGCAGGCTCGATATCGCGACTACTACATTCGCCTAGGATGTAGCGAATCACTCCACTACTTCGTTGACTATATCTTGCGCTTTGTCAACAAGCTGCTACACTCCTTGTTTTCCATGGCTTATTGTCCCCGCCTGTCTAAGATATTATGTAGACTTGTACGAAGGCCTGTAGATCCTACGTGATGTCTGACGCGGCTGATTATCCTGTAAAAGTGAACCGAAACTCGACCGGACGCATACGAACTAGCCTGGACATATTTACTCTTATTCATCTTTTCCCAATGATGGGCCCCCGAAGTCATTGGTATAATCCGCCGCCTCACGCGTCTCCTTGTCGGCCCTACGGCGCATCGCATATTTGACAATGTGCATCAATACCAGAGTTCATTACTTCACGAAATTCGGCAATTCGTGTCCATACCCTTCTCACATTAGTCTAGGAGAAGATGGAGTAGCAGACATTGACGACCATGCACCAATATGTCTACGTTTGCAATCCGAGACTGAATACTTGAGTCCTAAAAGACTTGGAGCTACTATCGATTTTTGCAAATGGATGTGACCTTGTAAGGTAAAGGACCCATAGTACCCATCGTGTCCATGATGATCTTAACGACCAAGAAGCTGCAAAACAAGCGCCACTACTTGGTCTGAGCAGCTCAAAGGTCAGCATTTCTAGGTACGCAGCGGTGGCTCTGGATCTGATAATTGGATCTGTACGTCGAATGTCACTTGAGCTCATTGATCCTGAACAATATGGCATACGATAGGCCGAAGTAACCTCGCAATTCATTTAAAGTGTTGTCAGTGGTCCTATGAGCGATGAAGTCTGATACCAGGATGCAAGTGTCGCGTTCCATCGAAGTTCTCCACGTTTTACCAGCTGAGCCAAAGGAAGACGCTCGGGTCATGTCACGATAACTACACGATGGGGGACCGCGATGTCCAGAACAGGTAGCTTAATTCAGGCCGTCTAAGCGGCGAGGATGACTGGTGGCTAATGGAGACATACCAGAAGCAAAGCGGAAGGATCGTCCTAGTATGACGATAGTCATCGAACACCTCCAGGGAGCACTGGTTCACCGCGGGAAGGCTGAGCTTATGATTGTCAAGTCGGATCTGACCTTTTGTATTGTATGCCGACTCGATTCAGGCTTACCAAATCTAATGTATTCGCGGAAACGACCATTAATATACTTCCAGGGTCTAAAGCAGGCCATTCAGATGGCAGGGGCCGGTTCGATCTGTGATCAGTATCATTATCGTTTCGTTCTAGGGAGTAATTGAACGAATTACCAAAACGCTGTACGTCCGTACCCAGCTCCTTAGAAAGATTGAAGAGTAATTCAAGACCTTCAATGCTCTTCGTATCCCATGGCAGCAGAGCACACCAGTGCCGTCCATCTATGCCACAGCCGCAGTAGCCTCCTCCTGCGCCTCGTCAATCTTGCGCTCCCGATCCTGTGTGATCTGGTCCAAGATCTCGCGCGCGCCCGTCTCAATCAGCACCTTCGCCAGCTTCATGCCTAACGCCTCCGCGTCCTCCTCCGAGGCAATCTCCTCCACGAGCCGGTGTTCTCCATGTCGCGTGCCGTCCAGGGACGTGACGCACCCGGTGAGATCCATCCGGCCGCCACCCGCGCCGTCCTTGTGCGCCTCGAACGCAGTGTGCACGCCGACCGGGATGCTGCATCCGCCCTCGAGCACGCGCAGACATGCACGCTCCGCCGTGCACGCCCACGCGGTCGGCCAGTGTGACACCGCGCTGAGGAGCGCGGCGGTCTCGGAGTCGTTCGCGCGGATCTCGATCGCGAGCGCCCCCTGCGAGACGGCGTAGAAGAGCGTGGGAGGTCCGAGGTCGGCGGTGATGCGCGCGCTCCATCCGAGACGGACCATCCCGGCCTTGGCGAGGATGAGCGCGGTGTAGGGGCCGTCGGGAGCATCAAGCTTCGTCATGCGGGTGTTCCTGCGGGAACGTGCGAGGTCAGAGAGAGAAGCGGGGCGAAGTGGCAGGGTACTGACAAGTTACCGCGCTGTGGGATGCGTAATGAACATGTGTGAACTGGTGTGATGAGAACGACCACGTACGACGTCCTTGAAGACTAGCTTCGGGAACCGCCTCTTG